TAGGCTACCACGCCAGGCCAAGAATACTTGACCTTAAAGCCTTTGTCCACTGACTTCTGTTTGGCAAGAGTGACCAGGGAAAGTAGAGTATTTCTATTCCTTTTTTTTCTTATTTTTTTTTTAGATTGTATTTATTTTTATTGGAAAGTCAGATATATAGAGAGTAAGAGAGACAGAGAGAAAGATTTTTTGTCCAGTGATTCACTCCCCGAGCGCAATGGCCGGTGTTGTGCCGATCTGAAGCCAGGATCCAGGAACCCCTTCCGGGTCTCCCACGTGGGTGCAGGGTCCCAAGGCTTTGGGTCTCCTCGACTGCTTTCCCAGGCCACAGCAGGGAGCTGGATGGGAAGTGGGGCTGCCGGGATTAGAAGCGGTGCCCATATGGGATGCTGGCATGTTCAAGGTGAGAACTTTAGCTGCTAGGCCATGCCGCCGGACCCTACTCCTTTCTAAAGATGTACTCAACTCTTTCTGACGATGTGAAAAATCTATTTGAGTTCCATATTTCTTCTGTAATTGCTGATGTTGCAGGCCACTGGGGGGCTGGGATGTTACGTTTTGCTGATAATGAGCCTTCTGCCAGTATCTTATCGGAGCCTGGCATGGTGTGGATTTTTGACTTGTTTTACTTTTAGTCATTCCAAAGAGAGAAATTCTTTTATGCCACTATCATTGTTAATAATCAAGATTGCCTTAGTTGATAGCTTTGGTTATAAGATGCTACTAGGCTGACCTCCTAAATGTCGCTGCATGCAGTTGTAGGGCCCCGCCCGCAGAGGGCGCTCGGACGCGGAGCCACGCCAGTCTCACCTGCCAGACATCTGTCCACAGCTGGGAGGGCCTGCTGGCCGCTGGACAGTTGCCGTACAGTGTTCCCATCTTTTCATTCTGATGTTCTGACTGCTTGTAATGTCTAAATCTGGACTCTTTGGTTAGAATGAAAAAGAGAGTGATCCGTTTTCAGATTTTTAGAGTTTGGCATGTGTGTTTTAACTACTGACTGTTGAGTATTTCCTTTTGGATGACTTTGGCGAGGCCAGTGGAGTTGAAGAGAATGTAAAATCCCAGCGAGACAGGCCTGCTCCTCAGTGACAGCTACAGTAGTAACCTGTGGCCAGATGTGAGAGCGGTCTGGCAAGATGTGAGCTCATCAGACCCTGTGAGTCCACTCACAGCTTTATTTCAGGTAGGACGTGAAAGTTACAGTAGTTCCCAGCCTGTAACCATGCTAATATCCTAGACTCAGGAATTAATTCCTGCTTAAAAAATAATTTCCCGTGGCTTCTGGCTCGCGCCCAGAGCCTTGTCCCAAGCCGGTCCCGTTTTGCTGTAACATACACTGACTGGTGCAGCTTTCCTTGAGTGAGGACTTCATTGTTGAGACTGTGCCCATTACAGCAGAAGTGATTTGTTTAAAAGCACGTAAACAGAAATGCCCAGGTGATTTCATGTTAAATCAGTGAATCTGGAAGTTAACCATATATTCCTCACTCTGACTCCGCTCATGACTGGACTGAAGCTTTCGGAGACAGGGCCAGGGAGGTTCGGCCAGTCGCTACCGCTCTGACCTCACAGTAGAATTACCGAGCTGCTCTCTAAATATTAACATGTAATTGGTCTGCGGCGTAACCTGGGCTTTGAAAGCTCCCTGGCCAGCCAAGGTTAGTGATCACTGCTAGGTGGTCCCAGTCGGCCCTGGCACGGTACCAGCTATCCCTGTTGCCCGGTGGACGACTCTTGGGTGGCTCACTGGAGCATCTGTCCTCAGAGCAGTTGTCAAGGAAGAGCTTGCTGTCCATCCAGATCTAAAACACGCAACCCTAAGTCCAGCACGGCCTCTAGCGTCCTCTGTCCTTTGCGTACGTGACGTCGGCTGAAATAGAGCACTTGAGTTTACTTCGAGTCAAATGCAAGCTGCCTAGGGTGTTTCTGCACAATAAACAAGTGACATTCAGTTACTGGAGAGAAAAAAGACTCCTATCTGGAGTGCTGGTGACATTTTTATTATATGTCTCTTAGACTTCTAAGTGGGCTCTCTGTACCGAGTGACTTTCTCTTGCCTTTGATTCTATGTGAATGAACTGAATTAGCCAGGCTTAAATATTCCTGAACATCCAATGTGCAATGAGTCATGTTAGCATCTTTGTTCCAGGCTGTCCAACCAAATCCAGTGATTTCCAGAAGGGCCCAGAGCTTCCATTCTTCTCACTCCAGGTAGAAAAACATTTGAAAATTGTCACAGGTTGTCCCCTGCCCGTGGCGACTTCATACATGGCAAATAGGGAGGGAAGGGTCATTTCATCACCCATGGAGACGAGGATCGCTGTTCAGATAGGCCAGCGAATGTCTGATAATTCACAGAAGGACTTGTTTTAAAGAAGTAGTAGTTTTTTGGATATCATAGAAAATTTTATTCATATATTGTCTGAAAATAATCAGCAATTTGAACTTGAAGTAGGTGGTCGGTTGTGTTCAAGAAAGAAGAACGTTAGGACAGAGCAGGTTGATGTAAGGGGTCCGTCCGCAGCAGTCTTGGACACTCCCGTTGCACCAGGCCAGACCGTAAATACCGCGTGTGGGGCCTCCTGCACCTGCGAAATGCAGGCCTCCTTCGGTGGGTCGGGAGGCAGCAGCCTGTGGGACCCTCAGGAGTAACCCTTGCCCTCCTTTAATGAAGAATATTGTGACTCTGGAAACAGTGTCGAACATTATGCAAATTTCACCACACTGGACTTTAAGGCTTTTGAGGGAGGAACTGGGGAGTAATGATAAAAGATAAATATAAATTCGTACCATGCTTTAAAAAGCAAGGAATGAAACAAATTCCCTATCAGGACTGAGAAATTTGGCCAAGTTCTTCAGTTCTGCCCTCGTTGGTCGCTTCCTCTTGAAGCCCTGGGCAGTCACTTCTGACAGCAAAACAGACCGCCTCCGACTGTGGTCTCACAGCTTGCCTCCCCTCCTGCCGTCCAAAGGGCCGTTAGCTGGGCCGTGCTCTGTGTGGCCAGCCCGCTGCAGCCTGTGAGCTGCTGGCAGAACGCACGTGGATCTGCCAGTTGAAATCCGCAGTCGCTGGCTTCCTTCCCCTTAAACTCTTAAGATCAGAACACTCGGCATTTGCCATGTCAACCATCCTGTTGGCCGAGCACTTGGGTTGCTTCGGTGGGACCGCTGTCCAGTTCCGCCTCTGGGAGGAGAAGGCTGAGGGGTCAAAGGTTGAAAAGGCAATGTAGCAAAAACCTGGTTTCCTTGCAGACAGACCTCGTCTGGAGGGAACTCAGCTGTTCTCTATGGTGCTTACCGATGGGTGGCAGTGTCGCCCGTCCCTGTCCTTGGCACTGTGCCTTCCCCTGGTCACACTGGACTCAGAGGCCAGAATCCAGGACAAGTCCCCCCTTCTCTTCTCGAGCCCTGTCACTTCTTTATACAGCTGCTAATGTAGCATTTACTTCTCTTTGGGAAACTCTTGGGTAGTCTCCCCGCCCCCCAAGAAATAGTAGCGCATTTAAAACAGACCACGGTGGCAGCTGTCAGAGATCATAGGAATCCCTGCTTGCTCTTAGCCGGTACTGATGGCAGAAATCCACTCTGCCTGTCCCTCCCCGAGTTCTTACGGTTACCATAATATTTATAAGTGGCAAACCTAACAACGTTTTTTTTACAACTTGCTAATCAAGTGTTCCTGTTAAAACAGACAATCAGTTTCTAAAGTGTTATCCCTGAGAAGGAATGGGATAGAGTATTTTTAAGAATCTGCCAATCTGTGTTTTCCCTTTGGAAACAATCATTTGAGATCTGTCTTTCTTCCGAAGCAGTCACTCCATCAGTGTAATGAAGATGTCTCAGGAAGGCCCCGGACCGCTGACGGTGCTGGACTGCCTCTGGGCATCTTATTTCCTCAAAATACCTGTTTTCTATTATACTCTTAATTATAAATACCTATTTAGGAGTAGGGTTTTTGTTCATCCCACCCTCCTTTAATCATTTAAGTGTAAACTACCACCTCTCCCCCAACCCCTTTCCTGAAAAAAAAAAAAAAATGCACTTTACTTGCTAAGGAGAGAGGCAGTTCCTGGCCCAAAGCTGACTGCTTCAGGGGGAGTCAGAGGGGGACAGATGACAGAGTTCAGAATGCCTACCCAGGTTCAAAAAGTTTCACTAAGAAAACAAAACAAAACAAAAAAAAAATGGTGTGATTTCCTTAGCTACCAAATTCTGAGAGACTTCTTTGTTTTGTGGAATGCTGAGCTTATTTTTTTTAATTGGGTGAGAAACACAAAGGCTTTCAGATAGGATCCTGATTTGTGTCGTTTCTGAGTAGCGGATTTGTCCTCCCTTGACCTGAAAGGCATTCTCACTGTCTCCTGTGGATTCTGACCTTCCCTTGTCAAGCTGGGGTAGCATGTCTCCAGGGCCCCCGAGCCCTGGTCCGTGAGGGAGGAGAGGGCACGTGAGGGCAGAGACTGGGGCTGGGGGTGGGAGAGTGAAAGAGTGAAGATAGGGGTTTATAGAAACATATTTAAAGCAGTTTAGCAAAAGCTTTCTCATTGAACAGCTTTAAGAACAATGTGAATGAAATCTTAGCAACCTGGTGAGTAATCTGAAAAGTCTATTAATGTATACTTGAAATCCTGTTTGTATAAAAATGCATTTTCCTCTTTATTTTAACACTGTGTAAAAGAACATTATGCATGTGAGTGGTTTGAGAATTAAATGATTTAATACTCAATTTTGAATCTCGTGTGCTATCTGTACAGGTGAATTGAGTGTTTCGGAGTTGTCCCATGTAAGGGGACCCTGAGCCCTCCGCCTTCCCCGTGCCTTCCAGGCTGCTCAGCCTTGGAGGGAGCAGTGGGTTGTCCGCTGTGGTTTTCTTGACCCAGACATGGCCGCTGGGTGGAGAAGAGCTGAGAGCATCATCCTACCGAAGGCCCCAGGAGCCTCTCTTGGCTCCTCCTTGCCTCGTCTTCATTTCAGGTAGCAGAGTCCATTCCCAAGAGTGAGATGGGAGCAGCTGTCTTTATTTTAGTCATGTTCACAAACCAAAATAGGAAGAAATACAAAGAGTAAGACTACTCTATCTGACACAAGGGTTGGCTACTCTGCCCATGAAGATGATGGTGTTCAGAGCGGCTTCCCGGATGAGAACCAGGAAGGGCCTGTTGGCCTTGAAGGTCACCCTGTTCAGGTTCAGCGAACGGCCAGCGATGACGACGGCGGTGCTTGCGGCTGCTTCACTGCCCTCCTCGTTCACCTGCAGGGCACACGGGCACGTCACCGGTTGTTACAGGCAGGGCAAGCACGCACAAGCACAGCTCAGGTTGCTATGGATCTTCTAGAAGGAAGTCGTGTCACCTCCTGACTCATGCTTTGGGCTGGTAAGTGTAAGGTGCGTGGTTCCCGCAAGCCTGCTGCTGGGAGCGAGGGATCTTGAACTGGGATACAGAGTGCAGGAGCTTGCCGTATTTCTGGCTGACAGTACTGTGCAGCTTGTTACAGGGACTTACTGTGGGGGCAGGCAGTCACTGTTTGGGGTGAAGCTGCTGATTTGCTCCTTAAGGCGTCTGCATCCCTCAGGGGAGTGCAGAGTCCCAGAGCCACAGAGTCTAGCTCTCCGCTACTGTGCACCTTCGAGAGCGGCAGGTGGACTCACGGAGCTGGGTCCTTGGCGCCTACAGGGAGACCCCGCGGGTGCCTGCATGCACCCCCAGCTCCTGGCACCTACAGGGAGACTCCGGGCACCTGCACGCACCCCCAGCTCCTGGCACCTACAGGGAGACCCCGTGGGCACCTGCACGCACCCCCAGCTCCTGGCGCTACAGGGAGACCCCGGCGGGTCTGTACCAACTGCTGACGAGATAATGTGGCTGAAGATCAGAATTCTAGAGTTGAGACGGGTTCCCTCTCGGTGGATCGAAAATCCCAGATGTCAATTCCCCAAACAGCCACCCAGGACCGAGGGCTCCTGCAGAGTGTGGGGTCCTCCAATAGGGAGCAAGGACCTCTTCCTGGGGCGATAGCCTGAACTTGTGCAAAGAGCGGGGTACCCTGTGGGCGGGAAGGGCCTCTTCCTGGGCAGACAGGCGGAAGGGCCACCGGCTGGGAGGAAGATCCAGAATGTTCTGCCTGGAATTGCAGAGTATCAGTCAGACCTCCGCGTCTTCTAAGGTAGGCCTGCGGGGTGGCTGAGCTCGTGGAGCTGCTTAATTCTCTCTCTCTCTCTCTCTCTCTCTCTCTCTCTCGCTCTTTTCTGTCCTTTATCCTCCCATATTATCCATTTAATGCTTGTTGTAAGATTACATTTATGGGCCTGGCATGATGGCATAGTGGCTAAATTCTCATCCTACAAGCTTGAAGATCCCATATGGACACTGGTTTATGTCCTAACTGCTCCACTTCCCATCCAGCTCCCTGCTTGTGGCCTGGGAAAGCAGTTGAGGACGGCCCAGGACCTTGGGACCCTGCCCCCACGTGGGAGACCCGGAAGAGGCTCCAGACTCCTGTGTTTGGATTGGATCTGCTCAGCTCTAGCCATCGTGGCCCCGTGGGGGTGTGAACCAGCAGACAGATCTTTTCTCTGTCTCACCTCCTCTCTGTAAATCTGCTTTTCCAATAAAAATAAATAAGTGTTTTTTTTTTTAAGTGGAGCTTCCAAGATTAGAACCGGCGCCCATATGGGATCCCAGCACATTCAAGGTGAGGACTTTAACCGCTACGCTATCACACCAGGCCCAATGAATAAATAAATCTTTAAAAAGAAAAAATGGGCTGAATTTAGGACCAGATTGGAGTTCTGGCAAGATCAGGTGCCTCAGCCTTATTCATTGCCTCCTATCATGTCATCCTGCACTCTGCTCGGAGCCAAGCGGTTCTCTGCATAGATGGTGTTGCTGCGTTTGCTAGTTCTATGCTCTCAGACTTTGCTTTTTGACCACAGCCTTCTCTCCCAGAGATGTCCTCAAGCCCTTGAGCGAGAGTGACACTGGCCCATTACACCAGCGGTTCTCTGTTCCCACTGGACATCGAAACTGCTCGAAGGGCTTTGACCGTAGGATCTCAGGCCACATCCCGGATTCCAAGGGCGGCTGCCTCCTGATGCGCACACCCCTGCTGTCTCTCCCATGAGATCCCCTGCAATGAGAACTCTACAGTTACAGAGAGGTGAGATACTGTCGCCCTGAAAAGCAGCGTGGGAGGAGCGGGGAGGGGCACTCACCTCGAGAAACGCCTTATGGAACGCGTCGGACACGTAGAGCTCCTCCCTGCCGCCTGCAGCAATGCCTGCGGAGAAGACGGGGCCTCCGGTGAAAACGGGGTCCCTGCCGCCCACACGCAGGAACTGAGGCTGAATCAAGCCTTTTGGAGCTTTTTAAAATGAGTTAGTGTGGCTAGTGCCCTGGAATGGCAGGTTGAACCTTCACCTGCGGTGCCAGCATCCCACAGGAGCCCCATTCTGAGTCCCAGCTGCTGCGCTTTGATCCAGCTACCTCTTAATGTACCTGAGGTAGCAGACAATGGCCCGAGTGTTTGGGCCCTTGCACCATGTGGGAGAACAGGAGCTCCTGCCTCCTGGCTCCTGGCTCCTGGCTCCGGCTCTTGGCTCCCGGCTCCCGGCTCCCGGCTCCCGGCTCCCGGCTCCCGCCTCCTGGCTCCCGGCTCCCGGCTCCCGGCTCCCGGCTCCCGGCTCCCGGCTCTTGGCCAGGTGTGGCTCCTTAAGGAGTGACTCAATGATGAAACATCTCCATCTCTGTCTTGCCTCTCTATAACACTGCCATTCAAATAATAAATTAGAACCATTTTTAAGATTTACTTATTTTATCAGAAAGCCAAATTTTAAGAGAGAAGGAGAGACAGAGAGAAAGATCTTCCATCTACTGGTTCACTCCCCAAGTGACCACCATGGCCAGAGCTGAACGAATCCGAAGCCAGGAGCCTCTTCCGGGTCTCCCACATGTGGGTGCAGGGTCCCAAGGCTTTGGACTGTCCTCGACTGCTTTCCCAGGCCACAAGCAGGGAGCCGGAAGTGAGCAGCCGGGATACGAACTGGTGCGCATATGGGTTCCTGGTGTGTGCAAGTGAGGACCTCAGCCACTAGGCTACTGTGCTGGGCCCACAAATTTAAAAATTTTTAAAGATAAATACAGTTACCAGACATTGTGAGCTGCTATTTTAGAAAGATATGCCTGATTGTAAAAGATGGTGTGTTGGAGGAGCTGCACCAACTGAACATCGTTACTGAACCGCGGTGGGAGGAAGGCTGGACAGATCCACCGCGGAGGCGAGCGCTCTGGTGGAGCATATCCGGCATGTCAGTCAGAAGGCTTCAAGATGCACGAGGGCTAGCTTGAGAGAGTGCCCCCGAGCTCAGTGCCCGGCGCGCTGCTCCGACGTCTGCCGCCCTCCCTGGGCCTCCCCTGGGCCCTCCTCCGTTGCAGACAGGATCACGGGGTGTTGGTGCCAGCGGGGACCATGGACATGCAAGCGCAAACTCCCTTCTTTGCAGAAGAGGGGAGTGAGATTTGCACAAGGTAGCAGACGGAGGGCCGGGATGCAGGTCACCTGTCGCAAATGCGCACGTGGTACCCTCTTCCACTCCGGGCAGGCCCTCCCCGGACAGAGACGCCGTTCCTTCCCCCACTGACCTGGGAGCTGGGACTTTTCAGGGCTGAACAGATCCACAAGGCCCATGACTCGCAGCTTCTCTTTCAGACTGAAGCCGTCCTCGATGCGGAAGCGCGGCATGTGGACCGCCAGCAGGGTCTCCCCCAGCTCGTCCAGCCACTCCTGCAGCGTCTCGGGGCTGAGCTCCCGCTCCAGCTTGGCCAGGCTCTTCCCGGGCTGGGGCAGGATGAGCAGCATGGTGATGTCATCCCCTCTGAAGGGCAGCTCCAGCACCTGGGTGCCCTCTGCCACACGCCGATAGCGGAACTTGCCTTCCTGGTACATCATCGGCACTGAGCAGGAGGCCTCGTCGGCCTTGAAGAACAGCTCATCTCTCGTGTTCTCAAGGCTGAACTTGGACTTCCACAAGCCCTGGATGGAAGACAGCAGGTGAGAGGAGCGAGGACAAAGCCGACACAGTCACATCGTTGCGTTGACATCAGTGTAAGCGTCACAAGACCGGAAGAGGGGCGCGCAGAGGTTAGCCAGGATGGTGTCATGAGGGAGCTTTTTCCCCCTGTATCTTCTATATTTCCCAGATTTTCAGTAGTGATTTATAATCAGAAATCTAGAAAGTTTTATAAGGACAGCGTCGAAACATCTTTGCAAGTCTCTTTTTGACTTTAAATCTAATGGCCTTTTGCTGTCTCTCGCCAGCCTCTTTATTTGGGGCCAGTACTGTGGCGTATCAGATCAAGCCAATGCTACAGTGCCAGCATCCCATATGGATTCACTTCCAATCTAGCCCCTGCTAAGGGATTGGCACAGCAGCAGGCCTGGCCAAAGTGCTCTAGGCTCCTCACCTTCATGGAGACCAGGAAGAAGCTCCTGTTTTCTGGCATCGTAGCAGAGCAGCTGCAGCCATCGCAGCCATTTGCGGAGTGAACCACCAGAGGAAAGGGCTGTCACTCCCTTTCTTTCTCTCTAACTCTTTTTCAAATAAAATTAATAAATCCTTTAAAAGAGAGAGAAAGAGAGGTCTTCCATCTGCTGGTTCACTCCCCAAGTGGCCACAAAGACCAAGGCTGAGCAAGTGGGAAGTCAGAAGCCAGGAGTTTCACCCAGGTCATGCCAGTGGGTGGCAGAGGCCCAAACTTTTGTGCCATCTTGTACTGCTTCCCCAAGCCCTTAGCAGGAGTTGGATCAGAAGTAGAGCACGGTAGCCTAGGGGCTAATATCTTTGCCTAGCACGCGCTGGGATTCCATATGGGCAATGGTTCTAATCCCGCAGCCCTGCTTCCCAGCCAGCTCTCTGCCTGTGGCCTGGGAAAGCAGTCAAGGACAGCCCAAAGCCTTGGGACCCTGCACCCACATGGGAGACTTGGAAGAGGCTCTGGGGCTCCTGGTTTAGGATCAGTTCAGCTCTGGTGGTTGTAGCTACTTGGGGAGTGAATCAGTGGACAGAAGATCTTCCTCTCTGTATATCTGACTTTCCAATGGGAAAAAAAAAGGTAAGTAGAGCACCTGGGATTGGAACCTGTGCCCCTATGGGATGCCAGCATCACACGTAGCAGCTTACCCACTGTGTCACGTGCTGGCTCCCACAAACTATTTCAAGGGCCGAGTTCTGGGCTCTATCCCTGATGAGTAAAGGCCACACAAGTCTAATAAAGCCAGCGCTTTATGACCTGACTCCTGTACTATTCGTTACCATTTACAACCATTTGACACTCAGCCCTTTCACTCTTAGCTGCTCCGCTTCTGATCCAGTCCCCTGCTAAGGCACCCGGGAGAGCAGCAGGTGGCCCCAGGGCGTGGGCTGCTCATGCGCGGGAGGAAGCATCGTGCCTCCTGGCTGTGCCGTGGCCAGGGCAGCCATCTGGGGAGCCAACCAGCAGACGGAAGGTCCTCTCTTTCTCCCTGCCCTTCTGTAACTCTGCCTCTCAAATAAACGAAATGAACCTTTAAAAATAAAGTAAGGACAGGAGGGTGACCGAAGAGCAAGAGGACATTCCCGGGGTGTCTCCAGGCCGCTCCCTTACCTTGAAGTAAATGGTGTTCACCAGCACCAGGACGGTGAGCTCGTCGACGGCGCCCTCGGGGAGCACCTCCTGGATGCGGCCTTCGGTCTTGTTGGAGACCCAGTCGTTGATGACGGCCCTGGCCTGCTTGGCGCTGCCCTGTGGACGACAGAGGACACAGCTGGCCCCGTGCTGCTCAGCGCGTCTCCCTCCCACTGTGCTGCCGCTCCGTCCCAGACTGGACACAGACCCAATCCAGTGCTGCAAAACTTGTATAACTAATAGTAAATATTGCCAGAAGAAAATGAACAACAACAACAACAAAAAAAAAAAAATAGGGAAAACCGAGGGATAGAAAAGAAGGAAGGACAAAACCATCTGAGAAAAAGGAGACAAATATCTTCTCTAACTTTAGGACACTGGAAGCTCAGATGTAGTTTCCAGAATATGTCCAACGGGGACAAGGGGGGAGGGACCCCACACGGTCAGTGAATGACAGGATGCTGACTGAACACGGATCTTCCCTCCTTGGTCGCACAGTCGTCTTCCCCTCTTCCTGACTCTCCAAGAGGAGACGAGAACCCGCACCTGTATGCGTTCTACTCGCCCGCGCTCAGCGCTGCGGTTAAACGGGATGCCTTGGGGACGGGCATCTCCGCCAGAGCCTTTGGTGGATATCTGAACATGACGGATGAAACAACAGATTGATTATTTTCAAAACTTTTTTTCAGAGCGGCCACTACAATTGAAGCCATAGACACTACTGACTTCTCAGGTTTCCAGTTAGAGTGAGTACGCTCCTGGGGTTCATGTGGGAGAACCAGAGGCTGCCCTCCCGCTAATGGCAGGTGTCTGGGCAGTGCCAGTGTAGGCCCTGAGTCTCTGCGTCTTTCATCTCTGGAGAGGAAGAAGTGCAGAGTGGCCCAGCTGCTGACCTTGAAGTCCAGGGGCTGCAGCTTGGCCCCGTACACGGCCTCACTGATGTCCTGGTAGGTCCCGTTGAAGGTGAGGGATTTGTCTCCGAAAAGGCGATTGGCAGACACCAACTTGGAGGACTTGTTGGCTTTGCGGTACAGTCGGCAGTTCAGTTTGGCAAAGAAGAAGTGGACCTGATCAGATGTTTTCTCAGAGATGGTGTCAAACTTAAACACCTGTGTAAGGCAAAACAGAATGGTGACGGGCTTGTTATGGTAGCCGAACGGCGCTCAGGACCTGCGCAGCCCCTGTGACCCGCGCAGCATCGATGCTCCGCTCCCTTGCTCTATTGTGTTGTTGATCTATTTACTTTTACTTACTGGAAAGGCAGAGAAGGAGATTCAGAGAGACACAGGGGTCTTTCATCTGCTGATCTGTTCCCCCAAACACCCACACCCATTACACCAGTGAGGGATGGATCCGATCAAAGGCAGAAACCCAGACTACACCTGGCTGGCAGCAGGGACCCAATCCAGCCGTATCCCAGGTGCGCCTTAGCAGAAGGCTGACATCAAGAGTCAAGCCAAGACTTGCCCCAAGTGCTGAGTGTCAACCCTTTCATGTCTTCTAAGTGACTAAAAGAATAAGAGAAGTGGGGCTAGCACCACGGCTCAACAGGCTAACCCTCCACCTGGAGGAGCCAGCTGTTCCACTTCCAGTCTTTGGCCACCCTGCACGCATGTGGGAGAACCAGAAGAAGCTCCTGGCTTCGGATCGGCTCAGCTCCAGCTGTTGTAGCCACTTGGGGAGTGAACAAGCAGACAGAAGATCTGTCTCTCCTTATCTCTCTAAATCTGCTCCTCTGGCTCTCCAATAAAAATAGATTTTTTTTTGAAGATTGATTTATTTATTTTTATTGGAAAGTCACATATACAGAGAGGAGGAGATTCAGAGAGGAAGATCTTCCGTCCGATGATTCACTCCCCAAGCGGCTGCAACGACTGCAGCTGAGCCAATCTGAAGAAAGGAGCCAGGAGCTTCTCCCGGGTCGCCCACACGGGTGCAGGGTCCCAAGGCTTTGGGCCGTCCTTGACTGCTTTCCCAGGCCACAAGCAGGGAGCTGGATGGGAAGTGGGGCTGCCAGGATTAGAACCAGTACCCATATAGGATCCTGGGCATGCAAGGCGAGGACCTTAACCACTACGCTATGGCGCCGGGCCCAAAATAGATCTTTTCTAAAGAGAAGATGGGAAAGACATAGGGGAAAGAGATTAGAATACCACCTGAAAGGCTCTAGAACACACGTTTTCTTATTGGAATGGGAAAAGTCCTCTTGCTACTGGACAAAGAGCCAACATGTGTTCCTGCTTGCGACAAAAATGATAGGGAGCAGCCGCCCGTGGGGGATCCGGGGTACTGGTGGCGATCGCAGAGAAGCAGGGAAGGGTGACTGCAGCAGCGAGGGGCGGAGCAGGTCCCAAGGTGAGGGGGATGCACAGCTCATCTCACAGTCCCCACCGGAGCAGCAGGAGCACCTGCTGCCGCCTCTGCCACCCTGGGTAGGCACTGAGGCCGTTCCTCCCCGTCTTCCCTGCCCTGAGCTGACACCAGGCCCGTGGTTTCCTGAGGCTGTTGTAACATGCACTTCTTTTCTTTTTGATTCATGTTTTTGGCCAAAAGCTGGGAACTGCGTTTCTCTTTCATCAGAGAGACCCATTGCCGTTCCACTTTTCCAAGACACAGCATCTCGCTTTAGAAAATCACAGATCGAAGGGATGTGCTGGGTTTGGAAACAGACCTGTCCCTGTTTTCCTTCTAGAAAGGACGGAGCCTCAGGGACAAAGGAAAATGCTTAGCGACTCACACGAGTGTATTCGTAGATTGCGCAGAAGTGCCCCAGAAGCCTTTAAAAGGCGAAGGCAGAGGAGAGAGCTCTGTGCTGCTTCAGCACCCAGATGCCCACGACAGCTTGGACTGGGCCAGGCAGGAGTAGCAGCGGGGCACGCAGAGTGGCAGGGAACCAGCTAAGTCGAGGTCCTCTCGGCTCTCCCACGGTACACATCCACAGCAAGCCCGGATGGAAGCAAGCCGGGACTTGAAGCCAAGCACTGCGGTACAAGATGCCAGCACCCCCAGCCGGGTCTTAGCCACTGCCCCAGATGCCCGCCCCCAAGTTAGGAGAATCGGGACCCTCCAGTGTGCTTATTGGAATTCAAGACACTGAAGTCTGTAGCTCACAGGAGTGTGGGAGGACCCAGCCCCGCCGCAGCAGCCAGTCCCAAGTCCTCACACCACAAGAGGCCATGGCTTTGAAAGGCTCTGAGGGTGGGGCCCCTCCTGACACAGAAGCAGCAGTGATGACCCAAGCGATGGGGTCATCCATGGGAGGGACCTGAACGGAGTTGCTAGTTTCTAGCTTTGGCCTGCCCCAGCCTGTGCGTGGCACACAAGAAATGCCAGAGTGAGTGAGCAAATAAGTGATGGAATAAATAAACGTAGAAATGTAAGAATGGCTAAGTTTAAGAAATGCAGGTCTTTCCCCATTTAAAAATCAGCCTAAAAGAGGAAACAGACTTTTGTAAATCTGTCTTTGTAGAGACCTGCAGGTAGTCATTCATTGTCTATTTGTTTTTAATGTTTTCAAAGGGATCACATGAGGTGACTCCCCTAGAGGGACCCTCTCTGTTGAGTCAGAGACGCCCTCTGCACGCAGGTGGCTGAGGGGTCCCGCGTGTACCTCCATCAGCTGCTTGAGGGTGTCGTTACAGGCGCCGAGCTTGGTCATAGCAAAAGCCGTGGAGATGCTGAGGGGCGACAGGAAGATGTTGTCATTGTTCGACTTGGAGCCCGCCAAGTGCTGGTAGAAGGTGGTGGCGAAGCGGGAATTGGCCCTGGACAGTTCCCAGACCCGCCGGTTGGTGGCCTCGGGGAGCTTGGGCTCTGACTGCTCCTCTTCTGCTGTCTTCTTCTCGGGGGAGCGGTAGATGCACATGGGGTTCACGGGCAAGTCACGGGGCTTGGCGAGGCAGATGTCCTCCACAGGGCTCTCGTGACAGGCCACACTGCCCCAGAGGCCAAGGAGCAACACGGACAGGAGACATGACTTCCTGCGAGGGGACAGCACACTAAGTTAGGCTGCGCTTGGAGACCCCCTCCCCCAATTGCCAGCTCCAGGCTTGCCTCAGTGAAGTGCAGGGCCCCACCCCATCCATGGGACGTGGTCAGGGGAAGGGCAAAGCCTCTGAAACAAGGACAACTTCTAGCCAGTGGGCGGTTCCACTTGCCTGGAGAGAGCCCTGTTGGGAGTACAAAGGACCATCGAATCAACTGATGGCTGTTGAGGTGCACTCAGGGCTTCAGGCCCCAGAAATAAAGAATGCCAAGCTTTCTGTTGGCGAGCGGAAACATGCCCACAGGGAAAGAGCAGTAGGGGAGCCATTCACAGAAGCTGGGGATGGAGTTGAATCATAAAGGATGGAAGGATTGTAACGGGAGCAGAGAGACTCCAGCCCTTCCCAGCAGCACCTGCGCCCTGGGCTCACAGCTCTCCAGCTCCCACCTAGCCCTTCCGCAGGCCACAGGCCGCAGGCCACAGGCCGCAGGCCAGTCACTGGACACAGGTTCCTAGGGGACCCGGAGCTTGCCCTGCTCTCCCACGCACCTGCTTTCCCTTCCACTTCCTCCTGCTCAGTTGGCCGGCCCTCTTGTTTGCTGGCCTTCTCGTAGGATTTGGCCTCAACTTCTGCTAATTCTGTCTTGCTCTCTCCCCAGATGCTGCCACCGCCTTAGGTCAGGATTGCATTCTTTATTGTTAAAAAAAAAATCTCCCCAGCTTCCAGCGCGGAATTCCTAAAGATGTATAAACTCATCTCACTTTTGAAAAATGAGATTGTGGGACTGGCAGTGAAGGAGATTTAGGACCCAAGAGAACCAGCCGAGAGACTAAGTGTCTGCTGGCATGTTTGCAGATAAACAGGGTGGGCCTGGGCTTCCTCCAGCTGGCCTGGGGCCCTGGGGGCATCTGAGGCTGAATCTGCACACGGATAATCTCTCTTCCTCTCTCTCTCTCTCTCTCTCTCACTCTGCCTTTCACTGAGGTGTCACTGACATGCCTTTCACTGGGTCAGAGTGGGGCCAGCTGGAAACTGGAAGCAGTCGAGTGGACTTGCCTTTTTGCATGGTCTGAGGCTGACTCCAAGCTTTCAGAGACCAAGATGGCAGGGGCTGGGGTTGGCCCTGTGCTGCAGGTGGCTCACACCACATGAGCACTGGGTCAAGTCCCGGCTGCCTTAACTCCAGGCCAACTGTCTGCTGGATGCTACCCACGTGGGAGAGCCAGACAGAGGCTCTTAGCTCCAGCCTGACCCTGCCCTGGCCGTTGCAGCCATCTGAAGAGAGAACCAGCAGATGGAAGATTCTCTGCCTCTCTCGTTCTAGAACTCTATTTGAAAAGAAGAAAACCAGGGGTGCAGAGAGAAGCAGGGCGCGCAGGGAGCCGTGCAAGGCAGCGGAAAGGAGCGGGGCCACTGAGCGGGCCTTCCCTTCCTCCCATTTTGTCTGAGCTTCTCTTAGAAATGCAAGAGGCTGGGAGGTGGGGGGTCAGGGGGGTGCTGCAGGTCCTGTTAAAGGCAAGGAAAAATCAAGATGGCTGAACTACCAAGTCCCTTCTGACCTGTGGCACTCCGATCCAGACGGTGCTGTGTGTGGCATAAGGGGAAGACAAGGTACCGACCTTCAGCCCTCTGTCGAAGGTCACCGAGATGTTGGGCAGGGAGCGGGCAGTGGGCAAGCAGGTGGAAGGAGGAGCAGGCAGTGGAGCCTGCTGTGTTCCACTTGCCCTCCTGCTGGAGGCATGGCAGGCCCTGGGGACTCTCCTAGGAGCAGGTGACTTTGCCTGCAAGGGATGGGCAGACTTCATACAGAAGCCCCTACTTCCTTGATATGGCATCAGGAGGGCGGGGGAGGGGGCCCTCGCAGGCGTCCGGGGTGATGGGAGCTCCAGAAGGGAGCGCTCACCCCTCTTACCTTCTTCTGGCAGCCACAGCTCCCATCCCCTTGGAAGACATGGTCGCTAATGGTCCCTGGGGCTGAGCAAGCCTTGCTGGTCTGAGGCAATCTGGGAAGACCGCTTCCTTCCTGTAACGTGACTGAGGCCAGAGGGCCAGGCCGGGGGAGGGAGCTGACAGGAGGGACTGAGGCCAAAGGCTGATGACCAGGGCCCGGGGTTAAGCAAAGTGTGCAGCCCGCTGCTGTGTACCTAGCAGGGCAGCTGAAGGTCGGGAGGCCCGGGAAAGTGTGGCCCATTTTCTTTGTCCCCCAGCCGCCCCCATCCCAAACACACGCTCACTCTGCCGAGGCCTTCACTGCGGGACCATCTTCCTGAGCTAGGTCGTGTCGTGGTTAGGCTATGCCTGGCTGAGGCACATCTGGGACTGCAGGCTGTCTTCTTTTCTGGTTACAAATCAGGAAGTAGAAATACAGGAGTTGAATGTCACCGGAACCTTCTGCTCCTCCACATGTTAATTATAATACCTTCTCTCTCATACTTTCAGTTCTTTCTCTGTCTTCTTTAAACAAACACACACCAACTTTCCTATATTTATTTGGGAGGCACAGAGTGTACCCACTGTTTCATTCCTCTAATTCACACAACATCTGGGGCCAAACATGAGAGCTGGGACTGCAGTCAGGGGGACCCACACGGGGCTCACCCGGCTTGACTTCTGACCCTGCCTCCTGGGGCCTGTACTGACACAAAGAAAAAGAGGCCTGAGACCCAGAGATCTACCCAAATGGGCTTGAGGCTGCCCCGAGAGCCAGTTGTCCCTGACCCAGACCAGCACACACAACACTGCGGCTCACCAGGCCCCAATCCGCCCTGCAGCGATGGGTGGCACACACAGGAACAAGGGACATGCTCTGTGTGCTAAGACTAAGTTGGTAGCCATATAGGCCAGACATCCAGTGAGCCATAACAACGGTTCTAAACAAGTCATTCTGTAAAGTGCCTTAGCAATTGTATGGAACTACAGATAGCAAATCTATGTTCTTGTGGAAACTCTGGCTCATCTCTGGCATGGATGCATACTTCTTATCAACTGTGCCCCTGGGGAGGTAGGCTTTCGTTCTTCCCTTGTGAGAACAACACTGCAAGGTGTTCAGAGGGCTCCCTGTGCTTCGTGAGACGGGCTTGAGTCAGCCTGGAGCACCTCCTTTTCCAGAGCTCTCCTCCAGGTCGGTAACAGACCTGGTCCTTCCCTGTCCTTCCCTCCGGCCTCAGCAGTAACTGCTCTGAGCAGATTACATGGCCAGCTCTTCCTGCTACTACATGGCCTGGGGCCCCCCATCCTTTCCTCTGGACCCAAGACTAAGGCCTTGGCAAGGAGCAGTGGTGCCCAGCCCCCGCTGTGGTTACTCAGTAACTCAAAGCTTGACCCTGCTATGGAAATTGGGCAAAACACCTAGCACAAAAACAATCTTTTGATTCCTCTGCTTCCAGTGGCCGTGATATTTAAATTAAAGTGAAACACAGTTTAAATCAAGAAGTCCTATATTACTGTTTGGCAGTTGGTAGCTGAGACCCACAAAGCTCTCACTACAATTAAATTAAATCCTCGAAACTGCTGGCAAGTTCGGCCTTGGTTTCAGGGAAACCAAAACAGCAAATATTTATTGTACATGTCCAGTGCACACAGCACTGGCCTTGATGTGCTTGCTACTCCGTAAACATGCGTGTTTGAGAAAAGCCACATCCCGAGTGGTCTTACTAATTTATTAATAGGAAATACTTAAAACGCATCCCAAATGGAACATTATCAAGCAGGTAATGCTTTCTTACCCAGAAGAATCAACACCTCAAACGCACAGACTGGGACAAGGAGATTTTTGGGAGAATGAGCAAGCCAGGATTGCATGGGGTTGGAGCTCATTGCTCTCAGTGTTCAGGAAGTTGTAGGGAGTGACATATGAGGGACAGAGCCCAGAGGCAGAAAGGAACTGTCCGGCTCTACAGGAACCACTGTGAGAACCCCAAGGCGAAGCAAGCCGAGTGAGTTTGCACACATGTAGATCAGCTGTTTGCCCGGTGCAAGGCAACTTCTGGGCAAGCTCCTCTGAGGGTGAGGTGGGGAGGATGGTCAGAGGAGCAGGGCATAGCGGGGTTCTGCAGGCGATACACAGTTACAGCACGGCCAGGGCTGAACAACTGCAGAGGGTACTTGGGAGTGATTTTCACTTCTGAAACTAGCTGTTGGGTTCAAAGGGCTAACCAGGAAAGGGTGCTGGTGGCAGAACCTTTGAGCTGCCTTGTGTGAGGAGAAGCAAACGAGCCACTCCCAGGAAGCGGACCGTGCCACAGGTCTAATTCCCTGCCTGTGGTCAGAATCACCACAGCTATTATTGAGGCAAGGCCGTTGTAACCGCTACATCAGAGGGCACCTTCTAGATGGTAGTAATTAGCACTTTGGGACTTAAGAATATAAGAGCAATGATAAGCTGAGGTCTTCCTTGCAATTATTTTAATTTAAAAAAGATTTTAATATCTATCACAATGATGAGGGGGTTATAGACTCATGCCAGCCTCTGACTAGGATGGAGAAGTCTGGGGGCGGGGATGAAGTCATTGCTGGACTCCTCCTCCTGTCCCCCTCTGTCCATGGGGTGGGGTGAGGGTGTGGGAAGAAGTGCCCGTTCCTCGCTGTCAACCTGTACCCACGACCTGGGAATGGAGACAGTCCTTTGAGGCCTCAATGTGGGGAAGAATGTTTTTTGATGATTTTGACGTTGTTTACACAGCTGAGGGCTGCATGCCCTGCGGGTGTCGGATTAGGGCGGGGAGCGGGGAGGCACGAAGGAAGGCGAGTGGGACACATGGCTCAGTTCTGTGTCTGCAGAGGGGGAACGAGAATGGGCACTCCTTGCTGTCAGTCTACATCAGCACCTGGGGTAGAGGGACGATGCCCTAGCGACCCCGATGTGGTGTGAGTGTTTCCAGGGTGTGACTTGAGTGGTTTTGATAGTTCTCAGACCTTGTTGGCTTCATTGTACCAGGGTTGAGAAAATCTTTCCAACTCTGTTTGCTGAGCAAGTCTGCCTTGGTATACCCACAGACTTAGGAACATGCCGTGAAGCTTGGTCAGGAGAGTTGTCCAGCCTGTTTTGCCTTCCATCCTCTGACAAGGCACTCGACATCTTGATGCTCTGAATGAGCTGGTTGTCATGTCCCTATGTGCATCTGTGTGTGTCCACTGCACAGGTATCCGCAAATGGGAGGCCCAGTCCCAATACGTGTACTCCAAGGTTGGACCACATGTTTCTGATTTTCCCTGTGGCCAGGATTTCAATCCAGCGGTCTAGTTGGGAAGTTGCCTGAGAAACTT